TCAACATGGCGACCTGAACTTGTTGTGTCAAGCACACTAGACAAAACAGAACCCCAATACGACCTATTTCATGGTGAACGAGCCATGCAACTGTGATTATATAATAGAGAGTTTTAGATTCGAGTTTACCGCGAACCTCTGACCGCAGGAGGACACGTGACAAGTCTTTCGCGTCACGTTTGAGGTTTACGACGTGCGTTTTCAACGTGGGGAGATAGGTTTTCACGTATGTCATTTACCTGAAAGCTTTTAGCGTACAATTCTTGTTTTAACCCACGTAATGATCCAAAAATCTTGTGGAGCAAATCTTTATCCATTAACAGAGGCACAAATTCGGGCAAAATGCTAAATTTGATAATCCTATTGGATCTTTAAAACAAGTGCCATTCATGGCTGCTGATTCAAAATGGCGGCCGTAATCTAATCCATCGCCAATCTAAATCGAATTATGTTTGAACGTCGAACGGCAAACGGGTAACCGCAAACCGCGGTTAGAGGTTCGCGGTAAACTCGGATCTAAAACTTTCTAATAACCGTCGTGTACGAACTCACGAAAAGAACTCAGGAGAAACTGTTCACCGATTGGGCACATTAATACAAAGCATCTTTTGTGGCCAATCAGGAGCAAGCATTCTCTTGGCCGTTTGGAAATGGTCCGGTGAGAGTCGGTACCCAGGGGCTCTTCCGCCATTATTTCATGAATCACACATTTTCTTTTGTTATTCAACATCCTTTATTTAAGTTACATACTTCATGAATATTTAACTCACTGAAAGTCCGGGGAGGGCTTGATAATGTAGCAGGGAAGAGCGGGGCTGATGAATTGAATAAATTGCCAATTACAAATGCAAGGACAATATCCATATAAATACCCGGTATTTATCTGTATATTGCCCTGCTGCCCAGGGCAATATACAAATAAATCCCTTCCATTTATAATAAGAAAATTAAAGTAAATCATACACGTCCTTTGACCCCGCCAAACATTCTGAGAAAATTTCTCCCTTTAACATAAATATAGAAATTTATTCTGCAACTATAGAAAATACAGTAGTATCCCATATATCATACAGGCTATGTGTTCACTCTAAGAAAATTTTAATTCTTTGGGTATTACAAACGAGCAATTCTGGAACACAATACTGTTGGATCCATTCACAGTCGCGTTGTTGTCATCTTGGCAAAATCTTTTTACTTCGTCATCAACTAACTGATCTACTTCTCTTTTTAACGAGGACTCGGCTTCCCTTTCTCCTACGGATCCTTCGGATCGACAATTTAATACTTTAGAAATCTCAATTTAGGTAGAGACGTCAGGCCTCTGATACCTTTGTAAAGATCTGATATCTCGGTGGCCCGTACGCTCCATAATCAACTTATCTGAGATTCCTTTTTTCCAGTCCACGTGTTGCTGTTGTGGCCCTCAGACTGTGATTGCTGAACTGGCCCTGTAGGTCTGCGTCTTTACACATTTTGCTAACAACGTTTCCAAGCTTGTTATGTCCAACGGGAGTCGACGTAAACCAAACTGCAAAAATTAACAGTGAAAATACAAATATGAAACAAAACTGAAACTTCTAATTACCGTCTCCGGCTTGCGACCATTAAAACTGACTGACATTTTTATCCTCTTGCACCCGAATTGTAAATGATCTATATTTATAGGTATCATACCTTCATCCGTAGACTTGTATTTCTCGTTCGCTTACTTCTCTAAAGTCTCCCACTAACTCTTCCAAATTCAACTCAGGGGAAAAAGGCTCCTGAGAGAAAGTATTTTGCGTTAGGAAAATTTCGTCGTCACTATCCATTGCCGCTCTCACAAGTGTACTGGCCCCCCAAAAAATACCAAGACAAAAATAAAAAAAAAACAAAAGGTTTGAAATTTGATCTTTGTCGGCTTAGCAAACAAACAATGCGCTATTGTTCTCCGTCTCTCACCTAAGTGAGAACAAGTGTGTGAACAAATTATGACCCGTAAAACGCCCTTTCTCGATGCTGTGTGAAAACCTTTACAATACTTACAATGAAATACGTCATTGTCTGTGGTCGGATCAAAAAATGACAAACAAACAGATGTCAAACACAAGTGGCCAATTATTGCCCTGTGAAAGACGACCTTTATGTAACCTATACCTCATGAATAATAACATGAAATAAGTTAGATAAACCCCTCGAACGTCGGTATTAATCCATATACATCCCGAGGGCCGTATATGGCTTAATACTTCCGTTCTAGGGCTTTATCTCTTACATACTTGAAAACTTTCGTCGCGCCTTTTAACCCGGCGCGACTGGCTGCCCCTGGGTCTTCGAGGATGGGAAGTCGGTGGCCATTGGGCTCGAGGCTCGAGACTCGCCCCTCTCGCCGTCTGAGCAGCAAAAATAGATTTCATCGGCCGTAGCCCATTTCTCCCAAGCCTTATGAAATTTACTCTTGGTAGAACTGTTTTCTGCTTTTATATCACACTAAGATGATATGTCAAGCTGGAAATGTTAATGAAAGTGCAATTCTCTTCAATTTGAAAGAAAAAAATTGATATGAAGAACGGTAGGATTTGAACCCACAACCAAGAAAACCTGGCAACCACGCTAACCACTAGGCCACTACGGAATTGAATGGGGTGGAAATAATTTGAGTACATAGAGCATCAACCCCAACTCAAAACAAGAACCTAACCAGTTTCGAGACAGTGCTTAACCCTAATCAGTAAAAGCAGTGAAAGGCAATGCTTAACCCTAATTTGTAAAAGGCACTGCTTATTAAACCCTAATTTATAACGACCAAAACTACGTTGTGCCCAAAGGGGCTACGGTCGATGGGATCTAATGATAACCCTTCTGGTATGAGAAGCCTACGTTGCAACCTTGCAACCGGATCTATTCTCGATTTTCACATGACGTCACCAATATTCAAACTAAGAAACTATCTATTCTTCTGAGTTTCTAATTTCATTAGGTGTAAAGCTTCATAAAATTTGGGTAAAACTTTTCTCCCAATATCTCGCAGATGAAATATCGCACAGACCTGATTCTTGGCAAGGTTTTTTGTATATTCATCTTCTTTCATTTCCCAGATTCTAGACTTTCTGTATTAAATGGTTTGCATTTTTTTTTTGATGGCGTGACAGTGAAAACCGAGATATTCATAGACTACGAGTAGTCCCCATTTTCCCCCAGGGATAGTAGAGCGAGCGAAACGCGAGCGCACGTGAAAATCACCCCACGCGAGAAAAGGCGACCGTAGTCTAATCCGGGCTGAGACAGAAAGGTACGATATTGTTCGCTTTTCTAAGGTGACCACTAAGTCTTTGGCCTGAGGAACAGGCTCTTAGGAGTAAAATGAATTAGGTGAGAGAAAAATGGCAGGTGAACTTTGACCCGGGCCAAGACTTTTCTGGTGTGAAAACAAGGCTAAAGTGATCCGCCGACCGTATGACTCTACATCCGGGGACTTGAATAAGACGAGTGATAGAGAAAAATCCAGAGGTGTTTATCTGGCAATAGGCTGAGTTTTTCCGATATATTCGATGATATCAAGAGCCATAATGGGACAGATATGGAAACGCTCAGTCTAGCCCTTGGGGTATGTGAATTTCACCAAAGTTATTTTTATACCAATTAAACGCTTGAATTAATCGGAAATTGGTTTCCCGAGGGGTCGCAAACTTTTATTCAGTGCTGTCAAGAAATAATGGCGTCCCGAGTGGAGGTGTGTTTCATCGACCAAAGTGATTTTGTAAACAAAGGAAATGCTTTTCTCTTGAAAGGTTCTCCCGACTGGGAGCTAGATTCCAAGACTCTCCTCTAAATCTCAGTTTGTCCCAACAAGAAAACACACAAACCTTGGGTGCGACTCGCTTCAAGCCAAGCGCTCGGTTTATTCACGTAAAAACTAAAAGATACATGCCATATCATAGAAACGTAATATACAATCCAAGTAACATACAGCTCCAAAAAACTAGATCACAAGCTAAATTAAATTGAAATGGGGTCGTGGAACAACTGCTGGGTGAAAAACCTCCCCGTACGTCCACTTGCACGTAGGAGGAAAACCCCAGGCCAGCTGTACCCCATGAAAAAAACGGTCCCCCGCGCAAGACCAACTAAATAGAAACTAGAATCAATTAAAAGCGGTACGAACGAGAAAACTAAATACCTAAAGCCTTAGAAACCGACAAACGAGAAGATAAAGAATCTTGGACATATCCGTCCTTAGCCGATTCACTAGCCCAGCGGCCATGACGCTTAAAAAGTCCATCTGGTACGCCAGCATTTGCGGCAGCAGTGGCCCTGCCACTCCTAAGGCTATGCGTACCAATGGCAGAAATGTCAGGAACAATATCTTTAAAGGCCTCTAGCACTAACTCTCTTAACCTTGAATAGCTTAAACCCTTAGATCTAG